AAGAATGCAAAGGAACTATAAGAAACAGAAATATGAGGCATGAAGGATAGTTATGTGGAAAACAATGAGAATTGAATGGATCTGGGGGATTATAAAAGGTGAATGCGTCAGACACATTGGCAAAAATACTGAGCAATATCACAGCATCACCATACAAAGATATCTGCTTATGAAGCTGAGAAGATTCTACATTTTGTCAGCTTCTTCAGCTAGAAGGACTGTATCAACCCCTTACTCTAGCTCGACAAAAGTGCGTCCAGCAATAAGTCAACCTCTTAAGTCATTAAAGTCCTCTAGGGTCCATTGCATTAGTACATCTGTGATGAAAGACGAAATCAAACAGAAAGAGGGACAGTGGCCATCACTGGTTGTAATCACTTCAGATGACAACTCTTCATGAGCTCTCACACGGCTATGGCGTCAAACCAACAGTTCTCTCTGCTTCTTCTCATTTTAGAGTAGGGAGAGCTTTTGCAACCTCAGTTACAGATGGGGGACCGATTTCTATATTCCACTCAGGTTGTTGCTGGCAAATTCAGTGAGGCTGTATATCAGTTGAATTTCCCCTCAAAGTTCTTCCTACAAATTTTCAGTCGTCTATCCTAATAATAGTAATGATAATAATAATAATATCTGTATTCTAAGCGGCAGTTTTGGTACAGTATTGCGTCTTTCTCATTGCAGGGGTAATAATTAAAACAGGGCATTTACATTGACTTATCAAAATAAAACCTTAACTATAATGGAGTTATACTCTGCCACAGTGCCCCAGTTTTATACTTATATCACTAATTCAACAAGAATATGAATATAAAATTAAGTGGAAACGATGACAACAATATAATAATTAAAAAATAAGTTGGAAGTGTCCTGTCTAACACCTTTCGCATAGCATAAAATATGTGTAGAATTTTGGTACCTAGTCGTCTGAGCACACATACGTAGAACGTCAAACAGAATATCTTTCTGGAAACTAACATTACCTATTTTTTATTTTCATTTAAAAGACAAAAACCTGGTGCAATGTAGGCACCGAGAAGGTGCGCCACACAATAATAATAATTCAAATAAAAGACCTCATCTGGGAAGGAAGCAGTTATATTTAACAAGGCCAAACAGATTTCGTTGAAGTATAGTCCGAACGGGGAAGAAAGGAGGAAATTGCCACGTCATGGGCTGACCATCTCTCCGCTTTTTCCATCTAGTTCCACGGCTAGCGGACAGAGACCTGTACGGAAGCCTCTAAGATGGCATTCGTAGCACATATCCAAGCCACCATAACTGGTATTTTGATGTGACAACACTGAATGAATGGTGATCTCCACTGTGTCCAAACACACGCAGCCGGACCTGAGAATTACTCACGTGATGTCATCGCAAGCAAGCAATCCTGCAAAGATAGCGATGGGTGAATATGCAGAGTCACCTCACATCGTCAGCTCGCAGAGGTCAACTTTTACAGGCGTAGAGCAAGATAACATGCACCGAAGCATTGTGAACCCAACCTTTGACAGACAGGCTAACGTGGTGACGGCGCCCGAGCTGACACTCAAGTTAATGTTTGCCACCATAGCTTTCATGATACTGCAGGAAATATCATTCATCACTCCTCCGCCAGCACTCACACAACCACCCAAATACACGAACTTATTGATAACTTCAAGCAGTTCACCTGCAAGTATGAGCACAGGTACATGCTGCTGCCAATCTTGTAATAGTACCTTTCACTTAGCGCAAGACACATACCACACTAACAGACACTGATCCCCAAATGATTAAGTGCGATTTGGGCAGCCTGCATGCTATCGTACAGTAAGACGATATCGTCTGCTTACTAGAGGTTCAGAAGTCTTTCTCTAGGAAGCAGATCTACACCGCTACGGCTTACATCCTAATGTAAGCACTGTCTAACCTAGCTCGCAAACGCCACTCGAATGTTGCTGTCTGCTGGATGTGACCGGCGTTCATCCAGGAAGTGCAAGGAACTAGCAGTAACCCAGTGGTTTCCAGCGGGGCATTCTTTCAAGCTGCAGGCGACTTCATTCGCCATTAGCATTGGACCTTGCAGATGTCGCCAATGTTGCTAGCTAGCTTTGATTGCCACTCATTTTGATACTTCAAAGAGGTAGGAGGTGCTACCAGTTTGCTCAAATCAGCCTGTAGATCACGCCGTTTATGAACGCCTCCAAATCGCAAGACGAACCTGGCACACACTAACGCATAATCGAAGTCCAGGTATGTGCTCGAGTAGGAGCGGCAGTCTTGTATGTATCCATACCATCGGAAACTGACAGGTCTGTGGTCATTCTGAGTCCAGGTTTGATTGGCAGAGGGAGGAGGACACCAGGTAGTGCTACGGTGATGGCTGTGTCGGAAGTTGGTACTGGCTAGAAATAGGTTGTGATCTGCACAAAGCTATAGAACACGGTCCTCATTATGTGACCTGCGATCATATAAACCCCACTGACCACCTAGATGCCCGACCTGTGCATTCAATTACCCAGCTAGCACTGTAATACCTCTCTGACGCGCGTTGCAAGAGATCACCCAGTTGGTAGTAAAACTCATCCTTAATTGCATCCGGACTGCAATACGTCCGTGCGTAGGCAGAGACCACAAATAGGCACTGCCTTTCTGGCCTACCACTTCTTACTTTCGTATAACCTTTCAGCCTCACAGAGCATAAATGACTGTTAATGGGGATCCAGTCGAGTAATGTGGCTCCGGCTCTAGCACTTAGTGCGACTCCAGCTACGCCGGATGCCAACGCCACAGGGTCCCCGGACAAGCGAAGGTGGTACTGATATGTATCCACATGATGTGTGTTTTGTTTTTGACAGTCTGTTATATTTTGCTATGTGTATATGGATCGATATTCCATTATAACTGACATTATGCTTTTGTCTGTTCACTATCTAAATAAACAATGTATGACCTTGTTGTTATATGACATTACAACCAATCATGGTAAGACGTTATCTTATTGGTTCATGTGTATTAGCCATTTTCATATATACTCTTGCTTTCTCATTCTTGTTCCCACGTTCGTACATTGCGTACCATTTCACTCACACGCTAGTGTGACATTTATTTTCTTTGTCTGGAAAATACAAGTATCATCGTAAACCTGGTGGTCTTCTGATTTCCCTCTTTCCGCGTCAGGACTATTAACTACTCGACGAGTACATAACATAATTGGCGACGGGAAAACTCTAATAACTCACTCAGCAGCAGTACATAACAGGTACATACTATCAGAACTTCCAGACGGAGGTATTCAAAGCATTTCGCTGGGATCTTCAATGGGGGTCTCCAAAATTCACGAGACAACTATAATGAGGCTTTCCAATGTTCTTACCAGACCTGTCTGATGTCTGACTTGCATCAATATCTGAACATTGTAGGTAACAAAGTTGGGCACGGCACGCAGTTTAAAGATATATGTGTTACATGTCGCACTGGGGACCACCATTTTTAAGGCTACTCACTGACACATCGAAGCGTTACAGATGGCCTGAGAATTTAGACAAGGGTAAAAGACTGAAGAAAGTGAAAACACCAAGGATAGAAAAAGTAAAACAAAAAGAGTTAGGAAGAAAAGCGCAATTTGGAATATCATTATTGTTCGAGAGCATTGGAATGAGCATGCGATTAGTTCTACTTGTAGTTTCATTTCATCGATAGTGTGAGGACTGAGAAACTACCTGGGCTCCCAGACCAAACCAGGACCACATCCGAGCCTTTGAATTGGTGTCTCATCCGCAAGGCAGTACAGCAGTGTTGGGAGCTATGTTCCCATGGTTTCCAGCGATCAATACAAGTTGATACGCCACTCGATCCGATTGGATTCCGGAGTCCTTGTACCCTATATTAACCGCTATCTAAACAACCTCTCGGAATGGTAGGACCTACAGGAACATAAGTTCCAGCCAGTGTAGCTTGTTGGATCATTGCGGCAAACAGGCCCAACCACTACAAGGTAACAGCTGTCGGTCAGAAACTAACGTGATGTGGGAAGACCAGGATAGATAAGAGGAGATGTACAGTCCAAGGTACTGTTTCCTATCAGAAAAATAGGAATGCAACAACTTATTTGTCCGGCATCCTGCTTGTGTTGTAGCAAGCTTGTTTAACGAAAGAGGCCTGAGCGGTAACTGAGGACTGTTTCGCCTATCATTTGCTTTTGCTACCTGATTCCCTAATAAACTCAAATAGCTGTCTGGTATTGCGCATCGCTGATTCCTTTTCCATCTTTTTCGCTTTTGTCGCCCACTACTGTTCACGTTCGTTCCATAGGCTTTCAGACAGCTTTCGCTCCTTATTATGTTTGAAGCCCCCACCCCCCAGAGTCAGTCCTCTTGAATTTCGCAGTACTGATTAAGCAACAGAAATCCACTAGCAATTTGTAACCATTGGTTATAGGTTGTCTATCATCTTTATTGCTGTTTCTACAGCTGACTGGATATAATACCGGGATGTCTTTCTATAAGTCTCAGGTGCATGTTGTGCTTAGTTATTTTCACCTTAAAGAAAGAAAGACTGAGTTGTCATCTAGATGTACGAGGATTAGTGGTTTGGTAGCTACAGGTTTTCTTCCTTTTCAGTTGTAGGCACATATATGCAAGGATTATCACTTGATCAGTGCCTACGCAGGTATTCTGGGAAGAACGGCAGTCATCTATCCACTGTATCCATCTATAGCTTATAGCTACTCGATCTGTTTGAATCCATTGCTCATTTATTGATGGAGGTTGTCAGGTTAGGCAACGTTTGCAATTAATGCTAGAGAGAAACATGGGACTTCGTCGGTGACATTAGTATACTTTTTTGACTGATACAGCTTCTCTATTTAAGCATTGAAAATAATAAAATGAATAATCTCACAGGTTCGCTTTTATACTCAAACTAGACGACTATCTATAGAACTCATCCTTTACTTCGGTTGGGACATAAAATGAAATTATGATGAAAAGATATCGATGGGTACATAAATTCATAATCACCTATGCCATCTTTATTTACGATGCATTCACTTATAAAATTACCAGCGTCAAATTTTAACAGAAACAAGACAGATATTCGGAGAAAAACAAGCCAAGTGTTCTTCTGAAAGAAGGATACATATACTGAATCTACTAAAATATGTATACCAATAATTCCTCGTCATGATTATTTGTGTTTTATGTGTTTTTTGAATTTCTGTAATATATTTCTTTTATTGTTATTATCTTTCTTATCTGAGAGCACTTTGCGTTTCTTCTTTTTGCTCAAATGAATTGACGTAGTATCTTGTTGATTTGTTCCTTCTTCTTCAGTAATAGTTGACATAGCATTCAATACCTCTGAAATTTCTAATCTTTTGGAAACGGGTGCATCAGATGCCCAAGCAGTTCGTTTTAGACCAGGTTTGGTGACTATGTCATTACTGTTTGGTGTTGGAAGGTCGTCAACAGCTGTGAATACAGTACAGCCTTTGGCTTTGGAACGTTTTCTCATTGATTCAACCGCCTAGATTAAGACATATATATTAGAAGATAAAGTTAGTAGATATGACGACTAAGCCAATGTTAACATACTATAAGCATTATTGAAAAATATTCTAACTTTATTAAACATTAGTATAGGTATAGTAAGAGTAGGTCAATTTAAGTATATTATAAATTTATGAGATTGTAATGAACTAACTTGATTCGCTCTAAGAGAAGCCTCTTTTATTTCCATATTCAATTCTTTAATTGCTGCTTCAAGCATTTTATCTTCTGAACTATTGGGTTCAATCAGTGCAGGTATTCTCTCTTGACCAAGACCCCCAGCAGATATTAAATGTGATTCAATTTCTTTTAAGAAGAAAGTAACCGAATACTGGGTTAACAATGTTAAGGCACAACCGAAGCGACCAGCTCTGGCAGTCCGACCAACTCGGTGCATATAAATTTTCGCATCTAACGGGACATCATAATTCACGACCAAACCAACCTGTGGGATATCTAAACCACTGAAAAGAAACAGAAGAAAGGCTTGAAACAAAAACACATGCCATTTTAAATCTTATTTATCTCAGATAACCAATTTAATGTGTAACACTAATTCAGGATATTTTGTACAACTAGTTGTTTGGAACATAAATGCAATATGCAGTTGGTCTCTTGAGTGATAATATACTTGTAATGCATTTAATCAATTCTTCGTATTCGAATCAAGAGTGTCAGCATATTTCCAAGGAAAATAAAAGCATAATAAGCAAATCTTGCATACATGTGAAGAGCTACAGTGCCGCTGTTGACCCTGATATAATGCCACTTTCCACTCAAAAAAGTGGAAAGAATTTCCGATTATTATTCACAAAAGTACTCAAAATGCACACAAATTTAAAAGATGGGTCAGATGACGTTAGACAATTTACTCTTCAAAATTATTTTGTCTAACTTTACTTAGAAGAAACACAATCCTCAGACATACATCAAATTGGAGACATAGAATTTTGAGTATGACACAGTCTTCATCTGATAGAAAAAAAAGTCTCCCAAATGTCGATCAGAATCGGATTCCTATGTGCCAGCCAAAATAACGAGTTTGAGACGCAGGAAAACCGAGAATATGGTAAAAGGTAAACATTTAACCAACGTATCCTCAGGCAAAATGCAATTTTTCTTCTCCTAAACTCCACTTCGTCTTCTCATCCCCACGCACTCTACGAACATATGTACTATATTAATTGAGCTCATATTCTTGTCAACGTCATCATCACAGGAAGACTTGTTTCCTATCTTACAAACTGGGATGATTAACAGTCTACTCCAGTCTCACCAAACTCTCTCTCGGATTCACACACACTAACAACTAGTATATAAGTTAATCACTCTAAGTCAGTAATCCATCGTCTCAATTTTGAAACACCTCTGAGGTCAATCCATCGGATCACGATGCTTTGCTGTATTTTCGGATAAGATACATCCCTGACAACCTCCACTATAGTTGACAAATCAGTTTCCACAATCCACTTAAGCTGTGGTTCGATGGTGGCCAACTGTAGACCAGTTGGACTCTTCTCCAAACTCTTCTACCTGACATTCCAGCCACCTCTCATAAGGAGGTGTCAAAGTTCTATTCCTCTTGGCAATGGTGTCATCATGGCTTTCGCTTTCTCACTATTCAGCAAAGCCTATTTCTGAAGTCCTCCTCTTGTATTTCTCTCTCGTCACCCAGCATTGTATGTGGTTGTTATGAAGACTTAGTCGGAAACTTTCAGTGATTATAGCGCGTGGTGTGTTCTGGCGTCAGTTCTCTAGTAGTGACCGACCCGTTTGGATGAGGCCACGGAAATCTGCTGGCATTCGATAACCCCTCTCACCACAGACTTACAGATGTATTCATACTGTTACATGGTGGGAGCAAGTTTCATTGGAATGAGCATTACTGTTATACTCAAATAAAGGATTAGTTATTTCCCGCCACACACAGTCATTGAGATCACAACAACAAATAACAGACACGTAAGAACTGCTTAATTGTTGTTTTTTACATCCACTCAGCTGGAGGCTTTATTTGATTGCACAATCATACATGTTCAAAGTCCGCATGACTGGGTGTCGCACAGAGAATAACTGTCTCCTATGGATTCTCTCCGTCATTTTACTCTCATCTTATCTAACTCTTCTATTTGTGTCGATCGTTGTTTTTATATCGGTGTTCTCCAGGTGATTTACGAAGTTACTGTTGTCCAGTGTCAGACAGTTTCTGAACAAATAGGTACGAGTTCACCGTCTATGGTTCATCGATATGTAACTACATAGATAACACAGCACATATTTCCGTTTGGCTGAGCAACAAGAACACTGGTTCCGGCCATTAAGACTCATCGCAGAAGCAGGCTCGACCACCAAGCTAAACTTGTAGCTATCAGTTGTTTGAAAAACATGACTAAGAAACCTTGGTACTACTATCTACTATCAGTCAACTAATTAGTCGACATTCAAACTTTGCGACTTTAAGACAATACAAATCGACTTCAAACAGAGATGATGAGAAGTGGCTGTGGAGTTTGGTCTCCAAACAAAATTTTCCATTGTTAGTGGACAAACAAACAGATCTGATCAATAGGAATTATTACTTCACATGAAACAGTACAATAATTATGAACGTGCTTTTTGAAAATAACAAGAGGAATTTAACTCCACAGTGTTTGTTTTCAACCTATAAACCGAAAAAAATAACAGGAAGATTATACGTACCGGCTTGCTACATCTGTAGCTACAAGGACTGCACCTTGGGTCTGTTTGAATTTATGAAGTGCTCCTAAGCGCTGAGCCTGAGGCATATCTCCATTCAGTGCTACAACAGGCTGACGTAGAAACTGACGTAACAGCAAATTCAGTTGGTTACAGGCTATTCGAGTACGTGTGAAGACAATCACAGAAGTGGACATAAAAGGCCTGCATAGAAGGCAAAACATCATCAATTTGTAATTTCATACAATTTCAGAACGTTATGCATTTAAAAACTTCTCTTGATGATAACTGGAAGAGCCTATGCATTATTCAACAATAGCAGTCTTCGTCGCTCTTACATTACAGTCAGTGAAATTTAGTAATGGCTAGTGAGGTCTAGTGGTTTCGCTCAACGTGAAAAAGTCGCGAGAGAAGACACTACTGATGATAATAAACCTGGTCTAAAACATCCCGATGTGTAATTCACCAGTCACCCATTAGAGAAAACAGATATAACTACTAGCTGATTGAGAAGAACCCTAAGAAACAACCACCACATTCAATCATGGTATTAGGTGAGACAACCATTAACTTTCAGTGCACCGAATTACTGACGAGTAATATGGACATGGGATTCGGTGGAGGCTCCATAATTGAAAAGATGACCAACTACCATCAATAGATGCATTTATTCGAAGCAATGCATTGGCGTTCGTGATAAATCAGTATCTATGGGTCGGTGTGCTCGTCCGAAGTGTCTTTCATTATGCTTCTAGATGACTCTGAATCGTTGTCGGGAGCAGACGACATCTCTCCTTCAGACAAATTAGTAAGGCAAGACATTGCACCTGAATACCCTTGCATAAAGTGGTGAAATGAGGTTTCGATTGTATTTTGTCGGTTTTCAGATAAGAAGTAATGGATAAGAATTGTGAATGTTTGCCCACTATCGACGGTGATCTCCTTGGTTGTGACTGACTGGATCATGAATCAGACTTTGAGTGGAGGGTGAGAAGACGTAGATATGTCGGACCGACAAAAGGATTCTAGAAGATATGAATTACTCACAAAATCGAAGATTTACAGGGCGGCCAGTCGGTCGGAAAGAATAAACAAGACGGAACTCTGACAGTGCAGGTGAACAGTCGAGGACCTACCACTCAACTAATATGTAGAAGGAAATGGGGACATCAAATGTCGGACAAGCTCTCCAATGGAAAACGGATGAGAAACAGCAGGTTGGGTTACTCGTGAGATCATATGAAGAGGTGAGAGCTTTAAGGTAGTCATGGAGCCAGGTGAAAGTGATGACAGCCAACCAAGTGCAATGGGATTTGGAACTGGAGATCAATGTTTCACTCGAAGTGCAGGGGACGTCTAATTACAACAATCATAAGGTTCATGCGTTTGCTGATTTAAACCATGGAATCACTAGAGGCCATAAATATCTGTTATTCACATGTGACATTTCAAACTCACTATACACACTGTATGACAGAAATTTTGATGCACCGACTACCCATAGAACAAGATTTATATCACAATCAACACTTGAGTATCACATCCTAATAAAATACATAACATAGACATAATAAAAGCCGAAAGATTTATCCACAAATGAGTTGAAAACGTCGGATACCTCAAGGAATCGTTAGTGCATATTACTGAGCTATCTCAAACGAGGTTGCATCCGCTCTCTAGCAACACCGTTTTGAAAATATCGATGCGTAATAGAAACGCATCTGAAGATACTAAGGAACACTAGGTCTACTTTGTGAAAAACAGATAAGTTGGAATGTAGTTAAAATTCACAATGTATGTCGACAAAATATTGAGCTTATTTGCAAAGTCAACTAGCTAACAACTATTCACTCTGTGTGGTTACAGACTATTAATGGGGCTTCAATGGCTCCATAAAGATTCTGATGAAAGTGAAGCACAGAAAGCACTTTGACAACTTGCTTACCGATCATTTGAGTCACTGTTTGCCATCGTAGTAGCCTGTAGTTTTATCAAATCCAATCCAGGAGCCTGAATTTCAGGACACAGTGCAACACGAAGTAAATAGACTAAATATGAGTCAATTTCACACTGAGGCACTAAGTGTACATATTGACGTAAATTAGTCAAACTTTGAAATTTGCTTTTACGTGTAGACACACGAACTGGGTCGCGTATTGAAGTCCGTTGAAGTTTGCCAACCTAACAAAGGAAGCATACAAAAATACCAATACTTGAAAAATCAGAGTTATAATTGCATTTACGCGAATAAAGCTTGATATGGGTGGAATTTCGTAAGCAGTATTTTGCTCAAGTGTCTTAAGTGCCCCAAATAATTTGAAATCACTCTAAGCTTCTGTACTCTCTGTCATCTCGTGACAGTAAATCTAGACAGCGTAACACTAGTCTTATGTTCCAGAGCGCCGACAGCTAAAGCGTACGCGGTAATTTGTCTCAGATGGGAATAATAATAGAAACCTTAGGATGTAATCGTATTCACGCATACTATGAAATCGTCCTAGGAAGACCAATCACAAAGAGAATTTCACGTTAGTCACTACACGCAGATGATTTGTATCGGAGTTGATTCCACGCCAACTAGAGTGTAACAATAACTCAAACAAACAAAGTCAGGCTTAAATTAATTTCCTTTGTGAGAGCAGATCACTTTGAGAAACTACAGCTTACTGTTTATGCATTTTGTTGAATCTTAAAATGAGCTCAACCAGTTATTTAAACGCTCTGTGATGACTAAAATGTTCACACATCATCTCACTACTCGTCAAGAGGTACCATCACAGGAGGCTATGCTCCAATAATTACCTGTTGGCATGTATAGGCTGGTTGAGAGAGAGCGTAAACTTAGGAGGACAATTCTGACACACTCCCACATGTATATACGGAGGTGCGTATGTATTTATGACCGATTTGAAAAGCAACATGTTGTCATTTTCATTCTCCAAATAGCTCGGTAGTGGAATCATTTTGGTTGGTGAGAACTAGCAGTGGAATCCAGGATGCACATTTCGTCCTATTTGGGACACGAGGATAATGTTTTGTGGTTCGAGTCTCAGTACGAACACTATCACTTACTGGGAATGGAGGTACATCCAGATGACAAACCTCTTATCACATTTGTTTTATTATTCCAGAGTTACTTATTTCCCACCAGCTTGTCCTTCCTACACTACAAAACGCCGTAACTTACTCTGAAGTGCCGTTCTTCCGCGCTATACCTCTTCCAATATAACTGTGTGCACCATCTAAACAACGAAATTCAAGGATAACCTGACAATCAACAGGTTGCATCTGCACTGGACAATTTCCAGGGACTACAATGTAACTGTTGACATTGCGCGAAAAGTAAACACGTGCATTCAGATGGACTGATTATGTGGGCTTATGAAATTAGGATTACAACTAACGCGATATTGCAACGCTAAACTCAATCAACTAAAATCACAAACTAATTTTTTCGAACTAACCTTTTCAGTCATGGTCGCGGAGAATAGAAATGTCTGTCGCCGTGCAGGAACAATACAAAGAATCCTCTCAATGACAGATTCGAAATCAGTACTGAGCATTCTGTCTGCTTCGTCGATTACTAGTACGCGTAAGTTCGCGAACTTTAACTCGTCGAAACCTTTGGTTTTCTTTAAATGATCAACAAACCGACCAGGTGTAGCTATTTAAAAAAAAGGATCGCAATCGCACATTAACACGATTTTGATTACTGTATAGCGAATAAACAAGTATTAAGAAATGAAGATCTGGTAGGTTGATGCTTTAAGTTGAAGACATTATTATCATCATCTTACAATACTACAATGGAATTTACAAAACCAGACAAATTTAAAGACCAGGAATCTTAGGGGAAGATGTCTGTCACAACAGAACCAAACCATCCACATTACGTCTCGAAAGTTCCTAGACCTTGTGTGCTTCAAGCTAAAATATACATGTATGCATAGCTAACTAAAAACTATGAAGATAAATGGCAAGGCTGGAAGCATCAAGTAGTTTACAAACGAAAACATACTGTATGTTACAAGCTACAGTGTCACCACCTAATTTTTAAGTTGAACGGAGAAATAAAAATTCTGGCGTAACAATTCTCACTTTGACACTAATTCAGTGTTAGAATAAATATAAACCACCAGTAGAATACAAACATGTTCGGTGGATGAGCGAGACAATCAAACTTCACAAAATAATAGACTGTTAGGGAAATATGACCTCAAGAAGATTGGTTATAATTTCGAAATTAGGTTCCTATTGGCCTTACATCATAAGCCACAACTATTTATGTGTAATTTAATTAGCATAACTCGGAATATGTTTGCTTACACATTATTGGTGTCCTAACAAATTATTTGGGATCGACATTCGGCCGCGAAAATATTACATGTCGAAATGGAAGCAGGTTTTTTATGAGCTTCAGTGTATGGACAGTGCTATGCTACTGATAACTTCTTTGCCAGACAACTAGAACAGTTAGGAAACGATTTTTATCAACCACTTTAACACGTATGAATCATTTGAAGTCGATGAAAGTCGATCATAAAGTAAATGCATAATTCAAATTTATACATATGCAACTGTCTGTCTGTTTTCGACATAGAACTTTGCACAAATGTGCGGAAGTTCAAGTCGCCACGTTCCGTGTAGCACGCGAAGTAAGAGAAGAAAGTACAAGAAAAGCATAATAGAAACAGTGAGCAGAGGTGTGAGACAAAGGAGTAATAAAGAAATACAAAACAGTTTCATTGAAGATCATAAGTCACAGGGAGTGGATGCATCTGCGCCACTGAGAACGGTTTTGAGCCATAACACCAATTGTTTCCAACCATAGATTTTTACCGTCCCGAGGACCCCAGCCTGGAAGTCTACACCTTTCTACGTGGCTTAGACCAACTGTTGTGGATTTCAACTGTGAAACACAAACTCAACAACAGACATCTAAACAGATGTGACTTTCATAGCATCCAAAGAGCGTAATAATAAGGCATTGGGAAAACGAATGACAAACAGACATGTTATTTAGTTTGGACCCTACATTTGTGATGATGCTGTGAATAATTATAGAACGCATTTATTTTGACGAAAGGAAAACTCATAGTTAGTACTCAGACCTAACGAAAACAATTAGTGTGACAGCAGCAATCAATCGGTATAGTCTAAAATATGAACAGAAAGTGAAAAAGTATGCATCTTTTGCTTGAAGAGCTGCCATCTTGCCTGGGAAGTGTTTGTCAAGTGAAAATCAAATTGATGGTTTATCATTCTATTCTCATGACGAATGGAACTTTGAGTACATGAAAGGGGTGTGTACACTGTAGCAGACTTTCTAGTTTTAAGTAAATATGCTTAACCTTATTCAAGGCGTAAGAACAGGAATTTCACAGCAACCTAATTTTCAACTACCCATACACTGAATCAGGCATGGCATGAAAGTTGGACCTAAAATAACGTTACATCTCAGTGTGAAAGGAGGAATTATCACGAAGCACAAAACGTCATGCTTATGTGGGGAATTCACATCAGTGGCTGCATAAATGATGTCTATGGAAATTTAGTGTATTGTGCAATGAAAACACTCATCGGATATAAATTTATTTATGCATAACCATTTAGAGGTATCTTCATGTCAAAAGCAATTACTGGTAATAACTTCGCATATCACATGATTAAACACTGTGAATAAACATTCATTACAAAATCTATTTGTAGCACCACCTACACTATACTAACTAGATTATGCTGACAAGGTCTCATGAAGTCAGGTTGGACGATCAGCAAATAACCCGTCATAAAATGTGGAAATCGGAAGGAAACTACCAGCATCATTACCAGAACTTTTCCAAACAATAAATTTATTGGCTGATTATTTACAGTGTTCAAAACATTCTATTCAGTGTAGAACAAACACCGACTTCCATTTGTTTTCTTTCCAACTAAAAGCTATGACACGGTCTAACAAAAAATGGGAGCAAGTATCTCAAAGAGGAGGAAGTATTTTCACTCTTCAGATTATTGTGAAAATACAGCCAAGAAACCTGAACCAAAACAAGGTAGATACACAACAGTCAACGTATAGTACTTCAACCATTATGAAACACGATCAGATGAAGTCTGTCACCAAATAAAGGCAATCTGTAGTTAGGAAGAATATTAAGGTAAAGAAGTAAGCTATTATGAAATCATACAAACTAACCGATTATAACATGAGGAGGCGATTTCTTCATCAAATCAGCCTGTTGAGTGATAGGGACACCACCGACCAACAAGATGGTAGATAAACCAACAATTTTTCCAAGTGCATTAAATTGAGCTTGAACCTGGGCTGCCAACTCACGAGTTGGTGCTAACACAAGCGCAAAGAATGGATGAGGATCTCTCATTAATTTCTAAACGGGCCAACAATCAATAACTATAAATAACTCACCTGAATTATGGGTAGTGCATAAGCTCCAGTTTTCCCTGAACCTGTTTCTGCAAGAGCGACCAGATTCCTACCTAATGTTCTGTAAATTAAATATATGATATAACCTTCCAAGGCTGGAGGGATAGACAAAATCTGAATTGCTGTCGGCTCTTTCCATTGCAGATTATCACATGCTTTTTGAAGCTCATCACTGATACCCTAATTTGAATAAATACTGAGGAACATCTTACCAACTCTAAGAAAGTCTTTATTTCCGGCATTAAATGTTCAGATTTCAAATGGATCAGGGTCCTTTTTAAAAAAGATTAGATTTTACATTGAAACAACTTCAGAATCTTCATTATGTTGTTATTTTATTGTGCAGTGAAAAGTTTAATGACTTACCAGTGATTAGAATATAACAGAGATACTTTAATGTGGTTTGTAGCAAAAATGAGTACAGAAACAGCACAAAACTTTGACGGTCCAGAATCTTCTCTAACCTACTAGATCTAGTGTTATACAAGAGCAGCAGGCTGCTAAATGGAGTCATGGAGGGCGATAAGGACTCTCTCGACAATGACAAAATTATTAAAACAAAGATGCTAAAATAAAGTACTTAGGATACCAGCCTAGCGATCCCAAAATGCCGGCAAGTGTAGTGTAATGTTATCACAGTTTCTGTCATGTAAGTGCTACTTACTGAATTCACAATTCTGGGGAATGCTTAACAAAAGTTAAAGTGCGAATGCGAAAGTCCAGCGCTTACTGCCGAATTGGTGGGTATGTACGTCTACCTACAGGAGCTGGAAAATCCTGATTTCAAACCTATGATATACATGGGCTCTATAGTTCGATCGGATCCAAAGGTGTATGAACCTGTTTTTGATGTGGTTTTGTTCTCTGAGCTCAGCTCATCCACCTGAGCTAAAAATCTTCTCTATCATATCTGAACCTGTTTTTGTTAAGAACAACTGTAGGAACGCAGCTCCACTGCCCTGTGGATCAGGCTACAAGACAAAGGCTTAGAGGTGGCCACCACTTCTGTCTGAGCTTCTCGTCAGTAGCCCAGCCCTCGGGAAAACCATGAGATTTTGTACGGTTCATCTCCTGACGCCCAAAGTGGACCGAATTGGTTTCTTTAATAACAACAATAACTGTTCACAAAGTTTTTAAAACCTAAATGGAAAGAACACAAGAGAAATACTTATCGAATGGAAATTTTCATGAATTCATCAATATATCTACTCGAATGCTTGCATGAGATAAAATGGAGGGAAACAAGGCACATTGAATCACCAACAAGGGAGGCAGGGACATGAGTAAAGTATGATACGCAACCACATTTTTAAAAGGACGATCTTGTTAAAAGTAGAATTAGCCTGGAAATGTAATGCGACCATATTAAATATGGAATTAAACTATAAACCCTGCGACTATCAGTTACAAACATGGTTTATGAATTAGGTGTCTGTCTGGCTGGGGTTATTAGGATGCTAAGACACTTGGGATCGAATCTCTAAATCAGTCACGGAGTCAAATAAAACTCTGAAAACAGCAAGAAGTAACCAATTAGGCCCCGAGCTTTATCAATTAGCTAGCTATTTTCTCAATACAATGTGGTATGACTCTATTTATTCCTTTCGTATGAGTGTGACTGCTGAAACTGATCCACCTCTATGAACAATTCAAAGTTAGTATGTTAGTCAGTCAGTTCACGATGAAATCACAGAACTTAGTTGGCCTTGAAATCCTCTCTTTATCGTGTCAATAACGGCGTCAGTGACTGACAACAGGATGACTGATCTTCAGGAAATTAGCTGCTTCCCTCTTCTTAATAATCGTGAATACCAAAATATTGAGTGCTATCTTTTGCTAATGATTTAAAAACTCTAAAGTCAAGTACCCATCATAAATGAACTCAGGTCAAGCACTCCATTAGTTTTATTGCTGATTTCGCGAAATTAGTGGTGAGGATTACCTATAAAAGCAACCGAGGAGTTATGGTGAATTTTAGGAATTGTAAATGGAGATATATGCACAACTGTACCTGAATAGTTTTCTATATCAAGAGTTTCTGAATATTTCGAATAAACATTTTTTGCTGTAAACAAAGTCAAAGCCCTCTCAATAGGAGAGTCTAAAATGTCAACAAAGCAGCAGAAGTATTTCAATCATGTGCAGAAAAAGCCTTTCTTCCTACGTCTCGGTTGTTCAGCAACTCGGTATGTGTAACTTACAGTTAGTGCATTTCAACATGTCGAAATTTTATTTTGTATCTAGAAGGGAGACATTGATCAAATGCATCTTTTATGCTGCTTGTATTATATGCCTAACCTCAATTTTTCAACGTCGAGTGAACAAGCTTAAAAACAAACATTCCTTCACAGTCACACACTAAAATTCTGCGCTCACTGTTTTCAGGATTTTAACTTGAATGTAATCGACATTGCTGAGCACTGCAACGGAAAACGTTAGTCGACGAGTATAGCATATGCTATACTAAAATGATTATATGGCAGATCTGCCATATACCTCAAATGCATGCCCATGTGACTTTTCGGATAAAAGCATAATACTCCCAAAAGCAGACACCTCAATGTGCGTCGGACCGACGTGCCACGTGGCACAGTGGTTAGGACTCTCGCCGACCATGCACATGGTCCGAGGTTCGATCTCCCGACGACGCACACCTGATATCTATGGTTGGCCTGCAAAATTTGGGCTACCGATATTCATGCTGAAAATTCCATACTCGTACTAAAAATACGGTGTGAAATTAAGCTGTAATCAAAAATATTAAAAAAATATAAATATCTTATGCCTACCGTGCCTTACAGTAACGCAACTTTAGAATCACCGCTAACCCTTATTTGTCTGGTGCCCTATTGAAACTAATGAAATGCATGTGCATATCCAGGCTTGTGTGAAGGAGATAAAGTTTTCAGTCTGCACCATTATTGGATTCTCGCAAAATCAGTCTTCTTAAATTAGTCAATGGAAGTCTCAGCCACCACAATTGGAAGTTGGTGCTGGCAATTTAACTGAACATGGACTGTCGCTTCCTTGTTGCGGTAATTAAGTGACTTTCCTTCAGTGAAACGACGAGAAGAAGGCTTTCAAAATTCAACTGTGGAGTAGAGTAAAGTTACCACATCCCTGTGTGTGTGTGACCGATACCCAACATATCTATTTTCCTGCATACTGCCATATTTTTATTTTTTGATTACAGCTTGATTCCACACTACACCTTTGGTACAAGCATGGAATTTTCAGCATATGATATCAGAAGCCCAAATTTTTCAGGCCGACAGTAGATATCAGGTGTGTGTTGGCAGGGAATTGAACCTCAGACAATGTGCATGGTCGGCGAGAGTCCTAACCACTGTGCCACGGAGGTCTTCTTTTATTTGTGAGTGAGATATCTTATTAAAATTTGTTTGACAAGTATCAAAGTGCTACAGACAAAAGATTCGCTTATAAAATTCATTGATTACCTGCTTCAAATGTACTGATGTTGTCAAACCATTCATTTTGACTTTATGCAATGCAATAAAGTTATTTTTGTCTAGGGAATCATGTCGTAAAAAGGTTATGATTATGCATGAATCCCCATGATTTGTAAGCCCATGCTAAGTTTTTCAATGCATTTTATAGGATTGAATGCCTGCATAACACATTATGACTGCTGACCCCAGTTTATCAATTTGCGATATTTTAGTACGAAGGAAGTCGACAAGGCTTTATGCATATCCCCGGTATGACACTTGTTGCTATGTTGCTATTGGTTACAAGTAGCCTTGGTTTTGGGGGAATATTAAATTGACGTAATATTGCAATTTCATAGACATAACCTAGGCTTATGGGTGAGAGAAAGTAATTAACCTGGAATAAGGACAAGTTGATCCGAAGGTAAGGAGGACATTATTATTCAGTATATTCGTAAATATGCTATTGCTCATCGATTTGAAATGCGATTCCACATGTAGAAAAAGATTATGAATACCTTGCTTTTCTCTTCTGCATAAGAAAGTCAATTCAAAAGATTCGATATATTAGGCCAAGAAAGGAAACATAAATCTGTGCAAGGTGTAGGCCCCTGAAGTAATCCGTTTGGCATGCTATAAATGCAAGTGAAGACTGAAGGTTCAGTTCATGGTTGTTTGTTCAAACACAACTTCCCCGTATTTTTCGCGGGAGTTCTCAATATGGCAGTCATCTTCTCATCGTTCGCTGTTCGGTGGAAGACAGAAAACTATCAGAAGCGTTAACGTAATTTATTTTTATAAAATGTAATCTTACAACTAGTGTGTAATAAACTTATTGTTGGTTATGTATTGCCGATAGCAGAAAAGATTCCCGAGTCGCCAAAAATGGTTCTCGTATCTCGCGTAGGATATATCACCTTCTTTCTGAAAGACTTCGAGGGACCGCGTGAGGACCAGCGTAGCAAGAGCTGGGCATTAACGGATTGTGATATTTGACTGACAGATTTTCACAGTTTAGATAGTCTCCTTCCGTCTTTCCTGATGGCGGCCAGTTCTTCTTTGAAATAGAGTTATCTGGAAATTTTCTGGAATTTGGTCAAGTTCAATGATGCCTGGGTCAAAGAAGGGACAGAGGGTCTTGGAAGCAAACAGGAAAGTAAGTCATGTGACTTGTCTGTTAATTGTAACGATGTGTTTGATGTTGAGCGTGATATGGTTGATGATAAAGTTTCGCCGTCTAGGGATAATAGGAACATCAAACTCCCTAAATTTGAACCAAGGTGTTTCGACGGAAACCCAGATGAATATTTACACTTTGTAAAGGAGTTTGAAATCACGTTGAGTAGTTTTTTATTAAATGATGTAATGAAGTTGATGTATTTGTTGAAGTATTGCAGTGGAGTTGCTTCAAGAGCTATACAATGGTGTAAGTTCATGCTCCTAATGAAGGACACTCTGAGGTTATGGGTGTACTGCGTCGAAGATTCGGAAGACATTCGATGATTGTGAGGAACGTATTTGAGGCTGTTAAAGGTAATGGTAGTTGTCAATGGAGTTGAAGATTGAACGATCAATTCTTGTTTGTTTGCTCAAATCAACTTCCCCAATTTTCGCGGAGGCATCAATACGACAGTCATCGTCTCATCGGTCGCTGTTCAGAAAGAAGTCAGCAGAAAACCATCAGAAGTAATCTTGTGATTTATTATTGTAATATTTGTTCACAGACCCTAGTAAAAACATTATTTTTATATGTTGGTGTAACAATAAAGAATTCTCGAGTGGCCAATCGGTCTTTTGGTTTTTTCGTCCGTTATTACTAAACGTTTATGAAAGACTGCAAGGAACAGCGTGGGTCCGAGCGTAGCAAGAGCTGGGCATTAACGGTTTATGAGACGTGGCTGACAGTAGTCAATTACAAGATGACTCCAAGGCGCTCTCTGAGTTTTTGGATAACCTGATGACTTTCAAGGATACGTTGATTTCGATGAATTGCATGAGCGATCTGAACTCAAGCTCCATCCTAGAGGTAATAGCGAGACACCTACCTACTCGACTGCAAAGGAAGTGGGTGACGATTAGCTCTTGTATAGAGGATGAAGGTATTGAGCCAAAGTTGGATGATATTCTGAAACTGGTAATAGATAGTGTCAATCAATCTATGAGCCAGTTTCCCAGTATATTGCATCCCACCCCTGGAATAGAGCAGTCTGGGAGCAAAACGCAATCATTTATGGCAAAAGGGCCCCAGAGAAGTGGATATCGAGAAAGCTTTATGATGTCTAGTACTCCATATAAACTTAGCGAGTGTAACAGCTTTCGTGGGACGTCCCCAACAGATAGGTTTGAAGTTGCGAGACAAACACGGTTGTGTTTTACACGTTTGCAAGAAGTGTACACAAAGGTGAACTGTGTAGCAATGGGAAAGTTTAGCGGTAAGCTAAATGCGAAATAAGCGTCATCAAGTTCTGACTACGAATTGTGTGACGATAATGGTGCAGTGAAGAAGCCTGTAGTTGCAACTGGTAAGCCATTGTTGAATAGAGTGTCACAGACGACACCGCAGTTTGTGCAGGAGAAGAGGGTTACAGTCTCAGAGGGCAGTTCTGATTCCACAAGTTTACAAGGTATTACTAGTCAGAGTGAAGTTCTAAAACCTTTAAGGATTTGTGAGGAAGAACACAAATTGTGTACTGCTGTTATTGAAGAGTTTGAAAATGATGAAATTGACGGTAAAGTGAATATTGGTGATAATGATCATGATAGTGCACATTTGTATCTGGCTGATCATGATGAGATGAGGGGAATGCCTACTTTTACTGAGTTGAACCAAGGTTCTGTACAACTTGGAGGTGAAGCAGAATTAAGAGCAGATGCAGTGGTAGAAGGTATGGATACTCATGAGACAGTCAGTGTAAATGATCAGCGTGTAGCACACCCATCAACAGATGTCAATGCTAAACTGTAGTCATTGATAAAAGACAGCAGTGGTGGTAATCTTGCAGTTAGACAACCTTCTAAAAGCCGAACAACAACAGCTTCTGATCCACCGCTTAGGTCATCAACTTTTGTCACTCAGTCGTCGTTGGTGTTGTCATCCACAATGAAAGGGACATCCATGAACTCACGTGTCTTATGCTATAACTATGCTAGTATCAGCCCGTCTGAAAGGACGAAAGTCAATAGTCAGTTTAGTGAGGATACGCCAACTGTGTATGAGACGGTAATTGTTGAACTGACTTGCACGAATAAAGGCATTTCAAGTTTCAAGTTACTATTTGAATGTTATTATCGTTGGTGTAAATTAATCTGCGCCTACGCTTGGTTGGTTAGATACGTCGTATGTTTGTTGGTCATCTACATTCCACGACTTATGTCATGGGCGTGTCACTGCTCAGAGTTGAGGATATAGATGAGAGAAAGAGGTGAGCAAATAAACTCTGCGAGGATTTTCCAACCTAGGGCGTCAACCTGAGAAGGGTTGTAGGCATACTGGTGTAAGTCCTGAAATTCTTCAAAGAAATTACATCAAGACATGATCTGCGAGGTTATGTGCACTCTGTATGTATATTGGTGTGTCATATCACTTGGTGTTTTTGGATTCAACGTGTTTACTTATTGTTTTCGTACCTTGTTATTAGAATTTTCGTCGTGCTTACTTCTGAAGTTGTTTCGAGTCTTCTACATCCGTGAGTGAATTGATTGATGTTAAAGACAGCAGATGGGTCGTATCCACCGGGGTGGCTATAGCTGAGAATGTTATGCATATGGAGATAGTGATTAGCTGTGGAGTCAATGATCGGGGATGAATGTCTCTATTTAGGCTGTGGTCCCACGCGCCGGAGAGGAAGAGTGTAGACGACTGGGGCTTGCATACGTCACCGTTACTAGAACTGAGTCAGAATGATTGACAAGCGATTGCAGTGGTAATTGGTAGTGGGTAGATAAGTGGATGTGCGAAGAGTATCGTAGGGTGCTGCTATGGTCACGTTGCGTTCTGCAAGTCATTCTAGCAAGTGGCGATTGTGTTGTAAGATGTCAAGAGGATGCCTTTAACTGGAAGGCGTAGGTCTTCGTCGGCGGGTGTGATTGTGCTGTGGGTATGCCTGTGGTGTGTTGGCTTTTCTGTTTGTTTTCCATTTCAGCTTTGTCCGTGTGGCCCAGGCTCTCGCACTGGCATCCAAGTCAACGTGTATTGGTTGTGATGGAAAAAGGGGATGGAGTGTCAATATAGTTGAAGATTGAATGATCAATTCATGGTTGTTCGCTCAAACCCAACTTCCCCATATTTTTCGCGGGAGTCACCAATACGCCAGTCATCGTCTCATCGTTCGCTGTTCTGTGGAAGACAGAAAACTATCAGAAGTATTATCATGATTTATTTTCATAA